GTTTCACTATCATCATCCTTTGTGCCATCAGACGTCACATAGGGCTCGCATCCGATTCATCCACTCCGCTCTCTTGCATGCAAATGATTCGATTTCTGACATGGAGTTCAGCGCAGCAATTTTGGCCTCTCGTAGCGATTGCTCTTTTTAATGTTTTTATTGGACGGCCTTCCCCCCCCCCCCCCCCCTCATACTGTTTGTTTCCCATGACTGAGCTTGTTTAGTAATGTTTTGCTCATTTCTTCTCACAGTTGGTCTAGTATATCTCCACCTTCTTTGTCCTATTGCAGTTGATACAGGCATTTGCCAAAACATTTCTATGATCTCCTCACTCTTTTTGAATTCATTCCATCTCCCGACATTTATTTTCAGATGCATTTAGTTGTTTGTTGTGTGTCGATTCCGTGTTGATCTGGGACAGGCTATTTAATCTGTGAATTCACAAGGTGCCCACTCAGCCTGAGTCAACATTCGATTTTGTGTTGACCTAGGACAGGCTCGTTGACCGGGAGATTCACGAGCTGTGAACGCGGTCTAAGTCAACATTCATACCTGCATGACTGGGGGTACGGAGGTATTAAGAGTACAGGAGACACGGGCATAATGCGTGCATTTCAGGTGGATGGAAATGCACGTAGGGCTCAAGTAGGGTATATACTTTAACAAGTCTCGAGAACTGAGCAGAGTTGTAGATAGAGAGTTAAGCAGAGTACGAGGAGATTGTCCTACTGTGCAGACGCCTAGGGTCGTGCACGTGTGAAGTAAGCAACCATTCTATATGAGTGTTCCTCGTTGGTGTCTTAGTCATCGATTTTGTATCGAGAGAGAGTGGGGCTGTAAGTTGTGGAGTGCCGCTAGAAACTGTTATCAGAATAGGGAGTAAAAGGTGCAGCTATCGATAGCTGTTATGTTCACATGACATTGTCTCGTTTCGTAACTCATCATTTTGTGTGAGTGTGTAGGTGAAGATGCTTGTGTTGTGAATAAAGACTTGTGACGGTAAACTGCAGGTTTGTTCTTGAGAACTGTGTGTCATAGTGTGAACGAGAATCATCCCTTCGTGAAAAAAAAAAAAAAAGTCGTGAGATGTGAACCAGCGTCATTGCACACGGTTATAAACCATAAGTGCACTGCCACCAGTACAGACAGCTGATAAGAAACTGTCCGCCTGTTTCGCCGTCCGTACGTAACTCTGTAGCTACAGCGAAGTTCTTCAATTTATCCCGAGTGTCACTCTGGTACCCATTTCCTAGAGGCTGGGTGAACCCCAGGAACTATCATCCCTTCGACACTTGGTATGTGTGTTAGATTCTTCCACCCAAATTAGCACACGTTGTTCAGTATCTTTTGTGGTTTTTCCAACTTTCGCTGGCATATTTTAGAACCGAAGTAACTTCAGAATTGAAGATTTGTAGCTTGGCCTTAAAGGTGTATAAGTTGGAGCTCCATATTTTAAGGTTTTTAAAGACTGTTGTCGCTTTGCCAGTGCCTATCATAAAATCCTTTGTTTTATCTACTTGAGTCAAAATTAATATCTAGGTGGGTGAAATGGTCTTATCTTTTTATTGGTTTATTCGCTGAAAATCTGTATGATTCGTTGTTGGTATCTTTAATATATTTGTTTGCACATCTGTTTATCCCCACCTTAAATCAGAGCCGTTTTAACATCATTATGGGCCCTTGGGAAAACCAGTGTGCTGGGTGCCTGTGTCAGCCACTCAAATGAATGAAATGGATAACAATTGTTTTCCTGTCAGACCACCTGTCAGTCCTCTAGGCGACTCAAAGGGATCCATAAGGCAACATGGAGAGAGAACTAACCCGCCAGCTAAACACATTCTCATAAAACAGTCAAATCCTTCTTCAGTGGATCGCTGCGGTCAACACCTTCTCCAGCTGAAGGAGGCCGTGGCATACCAGGAAATTAGCTGGTGGAAAGACTTGCAGAAAAAAATTTGTTATAAAAGAGAACTAAGTAATTCTCAGTACCAGAAATCAAAACACTTATCAGGGGGAAATACAATTAATTGTGGTAGAGAGAAAAAAAAAAAACAGTAAACACCCACAAGACTTCATCAGCAGACTCAGCAAGAAAACAACAATTTTCCATCTAAGAGCAGGACACTGCAGGCTCAACTGTCACATGCATAAAATAAATACTTTAGCTTGCTATGCATCAATACCCCACCAAGTGGTGCAGGATCAGGCAGTAAATCTAGCACAATAAAACATGATAGCAAGCATATGTTTGTCTGGATACTGTTTTTAATAATACAATCTAGACAATGCTGACAGAGAAAGGGCCAATTAACTTTATTGCACTTCAAAAACTTGAGATATCTCAGATTTCCCAATTAGTTGACAAGTGTATGAGCTGAATTAATAACACCAGGAATTAGGTTAACAATTGTAAATGTTGAATTAACACAGTTAATCAAGTTAGCAAGTGTATAAATTATGATGACTGACGTTAGCAGATGAATGGTTTCAGTCAACACAATAAATAAGAGTATAAGCTAAATTAACAAAGATTGGGAAGGCTAACCGGGACATCAAATGCCTACAAAAGTGTGATGTGTTGGTGCAAATATTGCAGCCTGGTAAAAATGGACACACTAAATTTACATCTTGGATTAATGAAGAAGAATAAGAATTAACAAATGGAATCAGTAATCAATAGCAATAGTCGAATCAACACAATATTAACAACTGAACATGGTGAAATAAGGTGAATCAAGTTCACAAGTGTAGAAGGTGAATTAACACGCTGAATCAAGTTAACAGATGCATGGCTTGAATTAACAAAATGTATCATGTTTATAAGTGTATAAGTTCCAAGTCAAATTAAGGCTATGAATGAAGTTAAAAGAATGCACAGTTTGGATTAATACAATGAATCAAGTTAACTAGTGTGTTAGGAAGCTGAATTAACAAAATGAATCAAGTTAATAAGTATGTAAGTTAAATTAAAACAAAGAATCAAGTTAAGGATGCATGTCTTAAACTGAAACAGTTAACCCAGTTGTTCATTGTTCATTTTAAAGATCCTCTTCATCGCACACAGGACATGACCATAAGTGCTCCAATCTCCTCCTGAGTATGTTTCCAAGTGCTTTTAGGTTAACAACCCCCATTCTGTTCTGGTTATGTAATGACAAGTGGCTCCCACATGGTTTTCCTGACTCACTGCTCCAATTAGTACACCCAGGGTATGCAGTTTATTCAGTGAAAAATAACTGTCTACAAAACCGCAAGCTTCACTGCTTTAGTCTGTTGTATGGCATTAATGATGTCTCTCTTGTTCATAGATGGCCCATTCCTGATAGTCGCACTACCAGCCAGGGCGTCTGCTCACTCATTGCCTTTCAGACCAGCATGACCTGGGACAAAACAAGAAGATGATTTTGCTAAATGCTGCGTGCTGAATCAGATGGATCCACTGTTTCCGTGTGTACCCAGCCTTGATCTCCGTGTGTACCCAGCCTTGATCTCCGTGTGTACCCAGCCTTGATCTTCTGTAACACGCTCACTGAGTAGCTGAGAAAGCATACAACGATAAATTCCTGAGTTTTCAGCCATTTTAACCCAATTAACAGAAGCAATGCTTGAATTAATGCAATAGTTCAAGATAATGAGTGTATAAGTACAATTTGTAACACACTGAATTAAGTTAAGAAGTGTACAGTCTCAAATTAAAATAAGGAAGCAAGTAAACCAGTGTATTAGTTGAAATTAACCCAACGAATCAAGTTAACAAGCAAGTTAGATTAATGAAATAAATTCAGTTAACAGACGCATGTCCTAAACAAGATATAAACAAATTAAAAGAAGCATTGCTTGAATAAAAACAATGAGCTAAGTTAACAGATGCATGATTTGCATTAGCACAATAAAAGAACATGACTTACCACAGCGTTAACATGGATATGTATGCTTATAAAATAGTATCACAGTCACAGCAGGAAGAAATGTACTTCAACATAAAAGTAAATTTGTTCTTGTAGCAAGGCACTGTCGTCATTTGGAGGTCACAGGTTCAATTCCCAGTGTGGTAACTATAGGTTCAATTTTAATGTGGTCTAATGTGTCCTTCTATTTCTATACTTCTTTTTTATGAATGCTAATCAATAACATCACTAGGATTTTAAAATAATAATGCAAAAATGATCTCTCAACAGATCAACTACAAAACTATAAAAAGGTGATCTTATACTACCATGTTAGGTATTACAGCTTTACTTATGACTCAGTTATAGCAACCCCTATCTCATTACCACAAATAAAGGACCCTTTCCCCATCTTATGGGAACTGCACTAGGCCTATATTTGTATAGATCAACCGGCACTTGATGGCTGATGTGGTCAACATCATGCAGACCGAATTTACTTCCCAGGACATTACCTGGTATCATTTTAGGTTGGATCAACTGGGAACAAAGGTCTGTTACGAAAAAAGATGTGCCCATATGTGGATTTAAACCCTTAACCTTTGGGGCAGCTGTCAAGCGTCTAGTTGCTATACTATACTCAGAATGCTACTGACACCATTAGTATTGGAATTCTTCACTGGCTGCTGAAGATAGGGATAGAGCTCTTATGTGAATGCTGTGATGTCTATTTTTGAATCAACTCAGTTGCTATACTACTGTGGCTTCCCATTACTGCCTTCCTAGAAATAAATAATTAACCATTGAATTGCCTTATCTCAAAGAAGCCATGTTTTAGTAGAATGATAAAAAGCCTAAATGTTAAATAGTGTTAAATGCTAGGGACCTTAAATGTTCTACATCATATTTGAAGGGATGAGCAGATTAATTCTTTTCTCCACCATTAATTTCTTAAAGAGTAACAGCCAAACAGATAAAAGTAACAACAGCCATGAAAGGCTAACAAAGATTTTAAAATCTAACAAACAACATCCATTCATACTATCTGAGTTAAACATATCACAGTTGAAACAACTGGAATAAATAATGTATGCAACAAAACAATGAACAAAATCATAAAACACCATCTGTTATAAATCTATTTCCTTCAGAATTGCGTCCAACATATTTTGACTTGCTTTTTGTCCAAAAACCTGGATAAGACAATTGAAAAAAAAATTATATTCAATTAGTTATTTAGAACTATCAAAGCATATTTATTCCAACTCTGTGCTACCAGTGCCAGACATGGTCACTCACAACAAACCATAAAAGAAAATTAGTAACCACGGAAATGAGATGTCTGAGAAGGGCTGTAGGAGTGACCATAAGAGATAAGATCAGGAATGAGATCATAAGAGAACAAGCCGGCACAGAACCAATTCTGGATTACATACAAAGACAGCAAGTGAAATGGTTTGCCCACTTAGAGAGAATGCCTTGTGACACCATACCATATAAAGCATACGTGGAAAGAGAAGAAGGACGTAGAGCACGGGGTAGACCAAGAACAAGATGGAAGGATAACATCAGAGAAACTCTACAACAGCACGATGTGCCTATGGTCGAGGCAGCCAGAAGAGCTAGAAACAGAACCTTATATCTCCCTCAACACCCACAGCGGTAAAAGAGGAAGTGAAGAAGAAGAACTTTCTAACATACTGACATTTTCAGGTAATTATTTGAGTGACTATAAATAGTACTTTCTGAACACAACATACATATCAGCACGCCATACAGATGTAAATGTTAAACAACTGATACATCATCTTCTTCTTCCTCTTTCCTCTACTGCTGGAATGCCTTGTGATGTCAGAGCAGGAAGAGATCTCTGGAACAAGCCCTTCTGTTTGTTTTGTATAAAGTAATTTTCAGTGTCTCTGATATTTCTGTGGTGGTTGACCTCTGTTAATTCTGTATCTGTATAACACTCCTCTCTTTGGTGCCCTGTCTGATGCCAACTTTGTTATATGACCAAGCCATTTGATTTGTTGTCTAACTATAAAGTTCAGTATTGGTTCTGTGTCGACTCTCCTCCTGATATTATCATTCCTAAGTCGTTATTTCCTCGTTACACCAGCATAGTATGTAAACATTTCATTTCTGTCATGACTGTTTTCCTTCGGCCTTATGAAGATAGTGTCTTTGTTTTACACTGATAGCATAGCATTGGTAAGAATATTGTGTTGAACAGAGTTCTTTTTATGTTCATATTCACATGTTTGCATTTCAAAATTGGTGCCTTTTGGCCTAAAACTTGATTAGCTTTATTGCCTCTTTGCTGGATTTCTTTATTAATTCATCCATCATAAGATCATATATCATAAAAGAGAACAGGACAATAAAAAAGCCACTAGAAAACTGAACTGACTCACTGGAGATGCAGACATTTAAAAACAAATAGGCCATGTGTCATGGAAACAGAAACAATCAAATACAGAGGTTCTGAAGAGATTACCAGCACTATCAGAATTGTAACCATTCGATGGCTGCTGATCATGAGGTAGGAGCGCTGGTGGGAATGTCTAGTGTGCTGTATGTAATGTCAGTTCTTTGTTCAAGGCTTAACACTGAAGAGATGAGGAAGGAAAAGACAGTTGCTGGAGGGTATAAAAAGGAGACAAGTGAAATATTTAGGCCACATTAAAAGACATAACCTTTTGTTCCCAGACGATTCCCAGAAAATTCTGAAAATTATCTGGCAAAGGTTGACGCTAAAAAAAAAATCCAGCCACTGATAATATGGTTCCTTCAGATTTCTACAAGGCTCATGTAATGCCTATTATAAATACATTAAAACTGAAATGAGTACCTTGGGGCTGAACAATTTCTGTGCCAACGGAGGCAGGCAGTGGAGTGTATTGGTCCCTTGATGCTTCTTCTGCAGATGTGTCTTCCATAATCTGAATTGTTAAAAGAAGACCAAGACAGGTGAAAGGATAGTAAATGTAATGTAAGCAAGTAAGTAGAATGAAAGGACAATAAAAGTAATGTAAGTGAGCATATCAGGGGAAGGGACTGTAAAAGTAATTCAAGTAAACAAGTCAGTCAGGGACTGTAAAAGTAATTCACGGAAACAAGTCAGGGGAAGGGACTGTAAAACTAATTCACGTGAACAAGTCAGGGGAAGGGACTGTAAAAGTAATGTAAGTAAACAATTCAGGGGAAGGGACTGTAAAAGTAATGTAATAAGTAAAAAAATTCAGGGGAAGGGACTGTAAAAGTAATTCAAGTAAACAAGTCAGGGGAAGGGACTGTAAAAGTAATTCACATAAACAAGTCAGTCAGGGACTGTAAAAGTAATTCAAGTAAACAAGTCAGGGGAAGGGACTGTAAAAGTAATGTAAGTAAACAAGTCAGGGGAAGGGACTGTAAAAGTAATTCACATAAACAGGTCAGTCAGGGACTGTAAAAGTAATTCAAATAAACAAGTCAGGGGAAGGGACTGTAAAAGTAATGTAAGTAAACAAGTCAGGGGAAGGGACTGTAAAAGTAATTCACATAAACAAATCAGTCAGGGACTGTAAAAGTAATTCAAGTAAACAAGTCAGTGAGGGGCTGTAAATGTAATTCAAGTAAACAAGTTAGGGGAAGGGACTGTAAAAGTAATTCACGTAAACAAGTCAGTCAGGGACTGTAAAAATAATTCACGTAAACAGGTCAGTCAGGGACTGTAAAAATAATTCACGTAAACAAGTCAGTCAGGGACTGCAAAAGTAATGTAAGTAAACAAGTCAGGGGAAGGGACTGTAAAAGTAATTCAAGTAAACAAGTCAGGGGAAGGGACTGTAAAAGTAATGTAAGTAAACAAGTCAGGGGAAGGGACTGTAAAAGTAATTCAAGTAAACAAGTAAAGGGACTGTCAGGGGTAAGGGACTGTAAACAAGTCAGTCAGGGACTGTAAAAATAATTCACGTGAACAAGTCAGTCAGGGACTGTAAAAATAATTCACGTAAACAAGTCAGTCAGGGACTGTAAAAGTAATGTAAGTAAACAAGTCAGGGAAAGGGACTGTAAAAGTAATTCAAGTAAACAAGTCAGGGGAAGGGACTGTAAAAGTAATGTAAGTAAACAAGTCAGGGGAAGGGACTGTAAAAGTAATTCACATAAACAAGTCAGTCAGGGACTGTAAAAGTAATTCAAGTAAACAAGTCAGGGAAAGGGACTGTAAAAGTAATGTAAGTAAACAAGTCAGGGGAAGGGACTGTAAAAGTAATTCACATAAACAGGTCAGTCAGGGACTGTAAAAGTAATTCAAGTAAACAAGTCAGGGGAAGGGACTGTAAAAGTAATGTAAGTAAACAAGTCAGGGGAAGGGACTGTAAAAGTAATTCACATAAACAAATCAGTCAGGGACTGTAAAAGTAATTCAAGTAAACAAGTCAGTGAGGGGCTGTAAATGTAATTCAAGTAAACAAGTTAGGGGAAGGGACTGTAAAAGTAATTCACGTAAACAAGTCAGTCAGGGACTGTAAAAGTAATTCAAGTAAACAAGTCAGGGGAAGGGACTGTAAAAGTAATGTAAGTAAACAAGTCAGGGGAAGGGACTGTAAAAGTAATTCAAGTAAACAGGTCAGTCAGGGACTGTAAAAGTAATTCAAGTAAACAAGTCAGGGGAAGGGACTGTAAAAGTAATGTAAGTAAACAAGTCAGGGGAAGGGACTGTAAAAGTAATTCACATAAACAAATCAGTCAGGGACTGTAAAAGTAATTCAAGTAAACAAGTCAGTGAGGGGCTGTAAATGTAATTCAAGTAAACAAGTTAGGGGAAGGGACTGTAAAAGTAATTCACGTAAACAAGTCAGTCAGGGACTGTAAAAATAATTCACGTAAACAAGTCAGTCAGAGACTGTAAAAATAATTCACGTAAACAAGTCAGTCAGGGACTGTAAAAGTAATGTAAGTAAACAAGTCAGGGGAAGGGACTGTAAATGTAATTCAAGTAAACAAGTCAGGGGAAGGGACTGTAAATGTAATTCAAGTAAACAAGTCAGGGGAAGGGACTGTAAAAGTAATGTAAGTGAGCATGTCAGGGTAAGGTCCTTTAAAGGTAATTCAAGTAAACAAGTCAGTAAGGGATTGTAAAAGTATTTTAAGTAAACAAGTCGGTAAAGAGATAGTAAAAGTAATGTAAGTAAACAAGTTAAGTGAAAAGACAATAAATGTAAGCCACAGCAGTGTTGGCAAGATAATCTGCACACGTGTTGCTTGTAACACCTGCATGACCCAGCACAATGCTGAAGGTTAGGCCAGCTATTCATGAAGCACTCAGAGATACAATACATTCTTGCAGATAAACTCAGTCTGGATTTCTTTAGAATATTCATTGTGTCATTAAGTACTGCATGCATGGGTGTATGAACTCTTTAGCGCCCACCCAGCCACGCTAATGCCCTTGCTACACCCAAGGTTTACTTTGTGAAGCTGCTAGTTGTATTAGCAAAAGGGTAATTTATCTCCTTGATAGTTTTCCACCTTAAAGTTAAACTCGAGAGAATCTCCTTCACTCCACTGTTTCCTCCCCCCCTCTCCCACGACCTTCATTTTGACAAGTTTTACTTGAGATTCCCGCTTACGACTTGCACTAGATTCCTTTACAGTTTCGTCGCACCAGCTACTGAGTTAAGTGCATGGCGCAACCCTGTGAGCTGCTGATTTCATTTGGAATGTTTTTCGACTGTGACCAACGTGGTGTTGTGAACTGTAGATTCAGAAATTGGCGCGTGGCCTGTCGCCGCAATATTGGTGGTGCCCTTATGTGATTAATATTGATTGTGTGCGCAACTGCTGATCTGTTGGCGACTTCTACTACCATCGATGATGAACTGCATTTATAATGTCAAACTGTTTGTGTTAGCACTTCTGATGGCTACCGTATGCTTTTAATGTGTGTGTATGCTAGTGCATATGCTGAGACAGCAGCCTGACAATCTTCCCACAATGGACTGCGACGAACTTTCTGTGTGTTTTTCGTTGGCACAGGAGCGGAGCAACTATGGGGTGACTCGTTTGTTATGAAGCTGAAACTAAGATCACCAAGTAGATTCCTTTATATCAAGTGCATACATTTTTCATAAATTTAAAAAAAAATAAAGATGGAATCCAATAACCACCACGTAAAAAAAAAAAAACCACTGTAGACTCTGTGACAAACAGTTGAGTTGCTTACCAGCTGCAAGTCCTCATCCTTTGGCCTGACAACAAGTGTATATGGCCCAACTCGCTTGGCCTCAGCAACTTCTGCAGCTGTGACTGGTGAAGAGTCTAGAAACTTCAGCCCAGGTAGTTTATACAGCACATAGTGTCTGGGTGGAAAAAGAGGAAAGTATTTTACAACAGGCTGTATCACATGGAAACAATAACAATCAAAACCAGATAAAGATGTTTTTAAATATTTTTTTTTTTTAAATCACCCGTGTAAAAAAAAAATCAACTGATTTCCTTCGGATGCTAAACTGGATGAAGAAATTAACATCAGAAGCGTAAAGCAAAGCAAGTATTGAGACAGCTAGTACCCCCCCCCCCCTTCTCCACCCATTTACAGCATGAGACAATCTCGATCAGCACAAATAAACATCTCATGTAAAGCATATTCATTACCACTGTATGCTTCCACTGTCAGACATGGTCATGCACCACAAACCAAAAAAAAGAAAATTAATAACTACAGAAATGAGATGTCTGAGAAGGGCCACAAAGTGACCAGAAGAGATCAAATCAGGAACAAGTTCATAAGAGAAAAAAATGAGCACACAACCAATTCTAAATTACATACAAAGACAGCAAATCAAATGGTTTGCCTACTTAGAGAGAATGCCTTGTGACACTATACCATATAAGGCTTACACTAAAAGAGTAGAAGAACGTAGACCAGGGGGTAGACTATGAACAAGGTGGAAAGATAATATCAGAGAAACTCAATAACAGCCCGATGTGTCACTGGTTGAGGCAATCAGAAGAGCAATAAGCAGAACATTATATCTCCCTTGTCACCTAAAGAAGCCAAACAGGAACTGAAGAAGAAAAAGAATTAGGCAACTGTTACTTAAACATGCACTATCTTGATGTATGTGTAATTTGAGTAATAATCTGTGAGTTAAAATAATATAGCTATGGAACAGAATCAGTTAACATTAAAAAAGCAAACTAATATAAAATAGGAATGTAAAGGAAACAATTTCGAAATAAAAATAATGACCAGAGTAATCAACAAATCTAGGTGAGTTGCCTGGTATCGAAACAATTAACACTGGATAATTAGCATCCACAGACTAAAAGAAATGAACAGGCACATTGACTGGCCAGTTCTGCACCACTTGGTGGTGAACTGATGTATGACAAGCTGGATGTTGTGAGGGCCCTTTGGGAGCAAGTTAACAGTGCCGAGACACAGACAGATCATTACTGTCTCAGGAAGATGGCGCGGCGAGGAGTTACCAGGGAATCTGACTACGCTCAAAGCTCAAAGGAAAGGCGTACAATCAGACAGTTACTGGTACCATCGGAATTGGAACTCTTTGCTTGCTGCTGAAGATGGGGATAGAGAGCTTATGGGGGTGTCCTGAGTGCTGTGATGTCGATTCTTAATTCAACATTCAGCAGACTAAATGTATTTCTCCCCAGTTTTATATAACTATATCTTACCCATTTTTTAACATGCCTGCTTATGTGTTTTGTTCCATAATTTAGCTTTAAGCAACCATATTATTATGTATTTCTGATTTCATGCTGATCTTGGCTGATTATAGCTCTACTGTGTTTCTGTTGAGTTTTCTAATCACATTTCCTGGGGTATTTAGTCCCCTTTTATAAAGACTTTTGCTGAATCATTCTACTGTATTTGTGTGTCTTTTCCACTCCCGTCACTGAGCACTGTAGCCACATTTTGTGTTGTATTCAGCAGTCGTCAATTACTGGGGTTAGTTTGCGACATCCTGCAAAAAAAAACATCCAACTCACTTTTGTGGACAGACTCCGGCGCAAGAGGAAGAACTGAAGTAAAAACATCTACAGCATTGCCGCACATACACATTTGGATAAAACAGAAATCAGTGAATGACCCAAAAAATAATAATATAGTTCTCTCTCTCTGATGACCTACAAGTCAGATTATAGGATATAAGAATATCTTTCTCTTCAGAGGTAAGCTTTTCTTCTTCTTCCAAATATTATATCACAAAAATGCACTGAAATTCCTTAACTGAGACCAAACTTTTTTCCTCCAGTCTCACATTGCAGTTCACAGTTGCTAATAACTGTCGTCCTCGTGAGGGGGACAACAGTTAGTTATTTTGAAGCCCCAACCTGGCTTTTGCTGTGGGCCCTAAATATAGCCAGGCCTTAAATGTGGCCTAGTGGCTAAACAGGGTTTCTGGGACCTTTTCATGGGTGATTCTCATCCGCATGTTGGCATTTTTTGTGTCACAGTTTGTTTAACGCTTGTGTGATGTCCTTGTGTGATGGGTACAACTTACCTACCCACCTTTCAGTCACACCTCTTTCACATCAATTGTTTGAGGAAGGAAGCTGTAACAACACCAAACATACAGATGTACTTCTTCTTTAGGGTCAAAATTACCTTTGCAGAAAACAAATATGCAGTGACGGATTTATACAATCCTTGGCTAAACATAGTATGTAAAATATAATGTTAATAGTTATACAAGGATGATATCAGGTCACACCTACTATTACACTCAGCTGAACTGATTTTTTCCCCGTTACTTTTGGCCAAGACTTTATGGGTTCCTGAGCAAATTACAAAAGACACTGAAGTTCATACTGCAGACAACACTGTAGCTATAGATTATCTATTTCAAGCGAACCAAAGCAGCAGATTTCTTTCTTTCATTACCTGTATCTAAGATAGTCCTCGTCATCTTTATCCAAGGCAGATAACTCGTTAGGACAGGCCTTATTTCCCAGCAGGCTTAGATACGTCAGACTAGGCAGTTTTTCCACCAACTGTTCCAGAAGGCCATGCAAGTCTGTCAACTAATCAACCATATCATTTAATCACTGTGTGTCATCATTGGTGCTATAGAGTTCATGTAATGCATGACATTAGGTGGCTAGTTTTTTCATCTTCATCTGTGTTCATCCGAAGATGTAATTGCGGAGTTGTGCCGAAGTTTCAAAACTTTTGTTTTTTGTGTTTCTGTCATGGCTGCAACCTTACCCCAATATTTGTACGCCTTGTGGCCAAAACAGAATAGACCCACTACCTCCCCAAAAGCATGTCGTAGGAACAGTCAGGATTATCAACAACATTTGACAAGAACTATAAGAAGAATGCAAAATTCAGTATTGATAATCTTTCAGTGTCCTTTCAATGCTATGTGAACTGAATACTAGCAAAAGGTGGTCTCCGTGGTGAAGCGGTCAAGGTGTTTGCCTCGCACTCTAAAGGTCGTGGGTTCATTTCACAACTGTCCTATTCAGCTTATTAGTAAAATTTTTACCTAGATCTCTGGGGATCGTCATCGGAGCTATGGTGTTCATGCTCTGTGCAGCGCTCTCGGCAAGCGGCTTGCCGCTCTATGGAGAGAGACTGAGCCATATGCGATAAAACCCGGTGCAATAAAGTTGATCCGCTTGACTTTAATTTTAAACACAACCAAACAGTAAGAGAAGTCTCACTTTATTTTTGTTCAATGTTAAAGTGTGTAAATCTTTGAGATGTGGAAACAGAATGTTGTCATTCAACTCATTATTGTCCAGCACCAGCTCTCTAAGATGTTGAAAATGTTCCAAGCCGCGAAGCGATCTGAAATATAGCACGAGGTTTCAAATAAAAACCTTAAAAGCACGACAGAAATTACAAAAGTCAAGCCAGTCTTGTAACCTGTCAATATTGTTGCTAACAATGCCTAGCGTGTTAAGCAGGTGACATTACAGTGTAAACAAGTGATGCCATCCATAATGACAGTTTGAAGATAGCCACCCCATTTTGACATGCATTAAAGAGGAGCAGTTTTTTTTTTTTACACATTTAAATTTTTTAAAATCAGTAAAAGAGAAAAACCTAGAAAAATCCAGTGGTGAATAAAGATCCAGTATAGTGATGCTTGCCTGTCAATCCAGCAAGCGTATGAGTGGAGTAGGAAGTATCAAAACTGTGTGACTGTTTTTTTAACAGATCAATATCATGACACACGGGTGTAACCCATAAGTGCTCCCTTCTTCCTCTAACTCAAGCCTGAGTCAGAAGAATCTCAGCTCAGTGCACGAACCTGCAACGGCGGGGATCCTGAAATGCTTTGGGTAGCTTTTTAACTCAAAATGTTTGCCCGGGCAGCGCTGTTAGGCTACTCTTTTAGATTTCCAACTGCCAAGGTATTTTTACGTGCGCAATAATAGACACTGACATCCGGTCTTACTATCCAGAGACCAGGGGAAATTACTAGAAGTCCAAGTGAAAAAAATCCCAGCCTTCATTCAGGGGGGTTTAAACACGAGACCTCCAGCACTCGAGATGGATGCCACACCTCGAGACCACGCAGCCCCCCAGCATGACTTATGTGACAGATACTTGGTCTGCCAGACTCATGTGTGAACAGTCTCAACTTGAATGTTTCAAGTAAAAGAAAGGACCCTTTCCCGTCACTGGCATTTTAGACACAAGGTGCTTAACTAAAGCACAGACCAATCGATATGTGAAAGATGATGTAGTCAACATCTCATAGGCTGCCTTAACTCTTTCAGTCCCAAGGAAAGCATTATACATTCATGGGTTCCTACCTAGAAGCCCAGTGAACACAAGATACACAAATTTTACATCTCTAATTACTACCCCTTGGAGCTCTGATGCTAAGCCACCTGGGACTGAAAGAGTTAATTTTAAAGGAAATTTCGTAGTATCATTTTGGGCTGGGTTAACCTGGGAGGAAAGGGAAAATCTGTCTCTATGAGGATAAGAGAACAAGTGTATAATCAGTGTACTACATGAACATACAGCATCTACAACTTAAAACATTTGCTGCGGGAGACAAAGCATCTATGAGTTTACCCAGTGTGCTATGATGTTGATTCTTAAATCAGTAATCTCAGTAATCAGTATATTTTGCTGTGGGCAAGCCTCTAGCCACTGTGCTAGCATGGCTCCCAGTATGCACTAATGCAAGGAATTAAAAAAGTACTATTTTTATGAAGATCATCTTGTAGCATGGGGCTATTCAACCTGTGGCCCAACGACCGAATTCGGCCCACAGAGGCATATCAAGTAGCATGTGGATCATTACCAATTGTAATGTATTTTAGTGATCTTTCGATGCTGGGGCTTAAACCTCTGGCCCGCAACTATCCCCACTGTCAACAGCCTGGCACCTGAGTAAACATAGCTGAATATCCCTGATGTAGCAGGTTCTTTGCAGAACACTGCTTCCTTAATGGCTTGCCAAAAGAAAGACATGCAGTCCATCGTCAACTCCCCTGCCTCTTGTAGATTTATGCAAAAGCTGTCTCCAATATCGCAGGTCTTCCTTCATGCCGACTGACCCCTGCCTCATAACCAATTAGTCCATTATTATTCCACTGAATAAACTGCAGGATTTAAAATGATTAAAGTCCCCATGTGGGATTCTGAGCCCAATGGGGGTGATGAGGGAGAAAAGACCAGTGAATATGAGTAAGTTTAATGACACTGAAATAATTACATTTTTTTTTTAAATGGGAACAGGAGAACATACAACAAACAGACTGGTGTAACTATCTTAGCTTACTCAACAAACAGACTGGTGTAACTACCTTAGCTTACTCAACAAACAGACTGGTGTAACTACCTTAGCTTACTCAACAAACAGACTGGTGTAACTATCTTAGCTTACTCAACAAACAGACTGATGTTACTACCTTAGCTTACTCAACAAACAGACTGGTGTAACTACCTTAGCTTACTCAACAAACAGACTGGTGTTACTACCTTAGCTAACTCAACAAACAGACTGGTGTAACTACCTTAGCTTACTCAACAAACAGACTGGTGTTACTACCTTAGCCTTACTCAACAAACAGACTGGTGTTACTACCTTAGCTCACTCAACAAATAGACTGGTGTTACTACCTTAGTTTATTGAAGCTCAAATCAAGCTGAGATGTAACATTACAATAGTTTTGGATAAGCTCTTCTGGCAACACTTCTACATCAGCCCCCAAAAATGACAGCTGAAATTTAATTTAACACAACAATCATTACAAAAAAATGTGTATACTGCTACCTGGAAATGCAAGAGTGAGAGGTAATAAAAGAGATGATTGTTTGGCTACAGAAGTGACAGTGGTAAGAAAACTAAATTCTGCACTCTGAAGACAATACATGAATGAATACATGTTGATGGAAAAGTATGATGTTAGATGAAGTAATATGTGTAAGGCAGCAAGAATTTGGAATTACATGTGGATACAGCAACAAAGGATGTATGAAAAGAACAGTAGGATATATGTGCAAGTGTGTTACTGGAGGAGTCAGCATCTACAGTTTAAGATAGTGATTCCCAAACAGTGCGCTGCGGTGCCCCGGGGAGCTGTGACCTCTTCACAGGCCGCGAAATACTGTAAACGCTTCATAATTAATTTAACCAAGACATGAATAGTCATTCTTCTACTTAGGTTAGGGTGCCGTGGAAAAATTGTAATTGAAAAAAGGTGCAGCAACCAAGAAAAGTTTGGGAAAGACTGCTTTAAGACATTTACCTTGGGAGATGGAGTGTCTATGGATACGTATGTAAGCTTTGATTTTGATTCTTAAATCAGTAGTCAGTCATTACAGTTTACTAGACTGCTAAATACTGGTGTGGGAAGGGGGGCACATTAGCCTCAGGGATCCTCAGGTCTTCTTTAAGTGCTTAAAATTACTAATAATAATGCTTAAGCTCCCAGGTTCCATGCCTGTGATGGTGACAATTTTTGGAGAGTCAGTCCTGTGACACCAAACTGTTGATCATTCTGATTATCGTGTGTCGCCAAGCAACACATTCTACTAGTCTAGTCAATTAGCTACCACGACTGCCCATTTGCAAGGGGTCTCCTCTGAACTTCTTCCCCGGCATTATGGTGCCGAAAAATATCCGTACTAGGCTCAGTGCAAAACTAGGATCGGTTCCGTATAGCGAAACAAATGCTTTAACAGGGTCTCCGCGATATGTTAATTGTGGACCTGTTTCTTATTGTTTCTGATTACCTGACAATGTTAAGAGACGCAAAACTGCAGACGATAGTAGCAGACGACATTAGCGACCGTTGACATTTTCGAGCGTTTTTGCAGACGATAAAAGCGACATGGCGGGGAGACCATGTGCGCCGACGCAGATTAACGCCGTTTTCTTCAAACTTTTCGGCATGCGCAAAACTCGGTTACACTTACCGCCGACAGTATCCCCTGCGCCGCTACGCGCGGATTGGGGGCTAAACTAGATGCCTGGCATTCACGAGCAAATTAACTGCAGGAAGTTGCAGGAGATGCGGTAGCTGCTGCTCATGAGTCCCAGCCATCTAGTTTAGCCCCCATCCGCGCCGTGCGTAGCGGCTCGGGGGATACAGTTGGCGGTGAGGCATAGTCACAGAAACAGGTCCGCAATTAACAAATCGCTGAGACCCTGTTAGAGCATTTGTTTCGCTATACGGAGCCGATCCTAGTTTTGCGATTCGTTCGTCGCCGGAAGTTCGCATATTTTTAATAGGACTGAGCCCTGGAAGGATATTTCAAGCCGCCATAATGCGGGGGTAGAAGTTCAGAGGAGAGCCTTTGCAAGTACTATATTAGTTATTGTTACCCCAAAAAAAAAAAGATTAGATATACGGTTTCATTTGATCAAAATAATTGTTTTCTTCCCTTATATTGGACTATTGGTATTTCATTTTATAAACGTCAGTTAGAGTTTAAATGTTTTTAAGTAAGAAGAAAGATAAGTAAGTTAAAGTTTAAGGGCAAAAAGGTTAGGGAGGCAGTGTTACGTAACAGTGATGATGATCCACCACAGCAAAACTATATAACTAAAAACAGAAACAAACACTAATGACTCAGTCTTAACTTTCCCAATCTGTACCTGCCCTTCTTCAAATGTGTAAGTCGGCCTGTCTGAATAAACTCCATTTTGTTCAGGTGTATGACTGGGGTTCATTTCGGGCACATCTTCTTGATCACCCGCCATGTTGACAATCACGTGATGATGAAGTAGCATACACATGCATCACGTGAGCAATCGACCCACTTCTTCCATCATCATCACCATCATGGAACCAGTTCTTAATTTATTTGATGATGTTAGGGAACAAAATCAGCCAAAACTAGACACAGAAGTCGTCCAATCGCAATAATAATATTTTTAATGCGATAATGAATGACAAAATCAGCCTTGCTGGCAAGAAAACTTCATAGGCTTGCTATGGTACTTTGAGCGCCCACTCCCTCCAATAACTCATGGAAAAGGATTTTTTTTTTTTGGGGGGGGGGGGGGGGGGGGGGGATGAGCCATCGGTTTCTAAAAGATATGCACGGGGAAACAATTAGCAGAAGTACTGTGGAGTGGCTGCTGCATCGGAGGACTTAGCATGCATGGGAAAGCCCAATGCTCAGTGACGTCGATTGTGATAACTGAAAATAACATACCATCTTGTAGGGAGTCGGCAGTCCGAAACCCAAGTTCAAGGTGTCTCCTTCGTGCCAAAGAAATGCATAGCTGTTGGGTGAACAGTCAGGTCGTTGTAGGTGCGACGCTTGCTGATGGATGTAATGTCCTAAGCCTCTTTCCCAGCTAATAGTGAGGGTACTGCTGGGGTGACCATTTATTAACCCTCACATAATGCTTCAGGTCAAAATGGACGCTAGGCACGGCCACTTTATATATATATATATATATATATATATATATATATATATATATATATATATATATATATATATATATATATATATATATATATATATATATATATATATATATATGCTTCTGCCAGACGGTGGCCGTTGCATTTTTGCTCCATTTGTAGATGAAAGGATATAGTTTCGTTGCTGAGCTTCTGAGTTGAGTGCATGGCGTGACACTGTTAGCTGCGGGTTGCATTTGAACTGTGATAAACATTTTGCGTATTTTTCGTTGGCACAGGAGCGGATCAACTATGGGGTGACCCGTTTGCTTTGAAGCTGAAACTAAGATTACCAGATTACCAAATTACCTTTTTTTTCTTTTTCTGCAGTTGCAGGTTTGTCTTCAGCTGGGATAACAGCAGAAGACGTTCAACCCCTGAGAGTGCATCCCTAACATAACTCCACACATTGGTGATCAGTCGCACTCTGAGTCCAAAGCGTTTTCCAAATCTGGAGAAAGCTTTATTCAGTCCATCAAACGCCATAGAATTGCAGTTGCATTGAACATGGCTGTATATTTTTCGCCAGGGTTTGCTGTTTGGTCGTCAGCCAAGATAAGAGTAGAATATACTTAAGCAAGATCATCAACATCTGTTATTGATTGGCAATATTCTTGTGGATAACGAATATGTCGCCGGACTGGCCCCAGCTCATAACAGAGTGAAAGAGTTCGTATCAAACAGTAGCAGATCCCAGAAACTGCTGTGTCCTATGTATTAGGGTTTCGCCTGGGCGTTCTCGTTACCGCAATGCATTTATTTTCCATTGCAGTGCCTGTTAAGTGGTTCTCTGTTCGCGTTTTTTTTTTTTCAAAAATGTACCCAGCATACCACCAATTGTGTTTGTCCAGACATTTGATTTTTTTTTTTTTTTCCTCCATAACTTAAGTGATCTCACTCGCATTTATTTTTCATCAGTTTCCTCGGGGATTCTACTTCTTGTGATTTCGCCATTAAAGTTGAGGTTGGAGCGTTGTTGTTGTTGTTCTCCTTCTGGTTCTTCTTTTTCTTGTTCTTGTTCTTCTTCTTTTGATCGCATGAAATAGATTATCTATATCTGCAGTGTTGTCTCTAGTTTGAACTTCACTGTCTGTTTGTTGTAATTCACTCAGCGACCGTAAAGTTTGACTTGCACCACAATGTTTCTCTTGGCCAAAAGTTTTGCCTTGATATTTGTATTTGGGACAGTCTTGGAGTACATGATCTGTTGTCTGAGGAGCCAATCCACATGCGCACATGGCTGATACGCCAGTTTTGAATTTTGCGCACACGTGGCTACACGTGGCTGGGTTGTGATATCAGCCCCTTTTGACTCAACACATCCAGTTAAAGCAAATCCAGAATTATTGGGGTTTAAAGACATGATTGTTTAGGAAGCAGTTTAAAAAAGCAGTGGGTCTATTCACGACACACCCAACCACATGCCCACCCACTTACCCAACATAGAGCCCGGAAACCCACACATTAGCTTGTCGCGGGTCCTTTAGATCAGTGATTCCCAGCCTTTTTACAATCATGTTATGTTATGTTATGTTAACAAAATCGTCGTCACTGCACACTGGGTATTCCCACGCCAGCTTAGTCCTCCGATGCAGCAGCCATTCCAAGGTATATCTACTATTTGCTCCCACGCGAGGTTGGTAATGTCTCCTATCTCGGCCTTGAAGGCGGCATAGACGTGCGTCACCATGCTTTACTGCCATGTCACGCAGTGGTGTTAGTGTCAGGGATTCCTCATTATCCACTAGCCCAGTCCGTACAGCGTTGAAAATATCTGCTCTGTCCATGCGTCGTTCCACATGCGTTAGTGCATTGCTTGCCAGCTGGTCCGCTCGCTCATTACCATTTATGTCAGCTTAAATATAGATCCAGGTGTGGAAGGTTAGGTGCTATGTTCGAATGATTTCCACTTATTCAGAGAGTATATCGACTGAAGCATATTCATGAAATCTGATACAATTACTGAATGTGTGGCTATTTGATCTGCTGCCCATGCTAGTGCTCTTTAGGTAGCGGCTATCTTCATGGTCATTCTTGACGTAGTTGCCTGGTAAGCGCAGCTGTCCTCATGTTTTGCCCCCCCCCCCTATCTTTACGGCTGTATATGCCTATGCTGACCTTGATTTGCGTGTCACGGATCCATCTGTGTAGATGGTGAAGCCTTCTTGGCGCGAATGCTAATCTATCAGTGCTCTCATCTCTACGTCTACCGCCGCAAGAATCTGACCCCTGCAGTACCTTCCCAGTGTGACGACAACCTAAGAGATGTCATGCATGTCTACCCGGTGTAACCGTCCATTCTTTTCCGTGACTGATCTCGTCTGGGTCACATACCTACTGGATTATATCTTCAGCCTTGCCCAGCCATCTCTTAAGACGCATTCCTTTTGTGTCGTATAAAGTTTTGTGCGGTAGGTGGTTAACGTCTGTCGATACCCTCATGTACACCTTGACCTGTGCAACTTTTTGTCTGTTAGTCATCATCGGCAAACACAGGACATATCGCACGGCGATGCGAAATGTGTTTATTGAGCAACGGAGTATGAGTCTCATGGCTGTTTATAATTTCAATTGGCAATTTGGCAAAACTGAAACCGGCGAGCCTAGGGGACCATAAGGGACATAATTGTTTGTATGTGTGTGTATGTGAGTGTGTATGTGTCTGTATCTCTCTATGTGTGCGTGAGTGTGTGTATGAGTGTGCGTGTGGATGTATGTGAGTGTGTGTGTCTCTGTGTGTGTAAGTGTGTGTATGTGAGTGTGTGTGTCTCCTTGTGAGTGTGGATGTATGTGTGTGTGAATGTATGTGTGTGTGTCTCTGTGTGTGTGTGTGTGTGTGAGTGTGAGTGTGAATGTATGGGAGTGTGTGTGTGTCTGTGTGTGTCTGTGTGTGTGAGTGTATGTGAGTGTGGGTGTCTGTGTGTGTGCGTGTGTGTGTATGTGAGTCTGTGTGGGTTTGTCTAAATGTGAGTGTGCGTGTGTGTGTGTGTGTGCGCGTGTGTGTGTGTGTGAGATAGATAGATAGATAGATAGATAGAGAGAGAGAGAGAGAGAGAGAGAGAGAGAGAGAGAGAGAGAGATAGAAAGAGAGAGAGAGAGAGCGATTGTCGTTCAACCCCACCAGGACCATGCAACGAGTGACCAACACCCAGTGACACAAAGTGCCACCATTTGGATGAGGATTACTCGGGCACAGATCCAAGAAACCCCGTTCAACCGTTACCTAATAAACAGTCGGCTCTCGATGTCACTATTAAAACAAACGCAATGTGATCTGCTGCCAAATCGCCCGCAGTTGGAATCCAACCTGGCACCACAGAATTACGAAGCCCTTTCGCAACCCATTCTTTAGTAGCATTAATGTAAGTGAATTCCCTTTGTGGTCTTGACTTTTGCTAATTGTCAATATGCATTTATGGGCGTGGTTACAACAATGCCCAGTAAGGCAATCCCAGATATTTAATTGGCAAAGTCAGCGCAGATTCTCAAGTACCTTAAATATTTTGTTTTACTTCCTATTCTCCTCAGTTGTTTGTGGACTGTTAAAGATTTACTGAATTCCATTGTTAATCAGTGCCTTGGCTGAAGCGAGCACGTTTCATTGATTGAATTTTCCCTCAATGTTTGTAAAACCGTTAACATCGTATTGTAGATTCAATTGTGTAATTCGGAGTACTACCGTTAGTTCACTATTATAGCAGCAGTACGGTAATTATTTGTAATGTAACTGGTGAATTAAAGTAGAGGTAAAGCAGTAATTCGTTTGCAATATCGTTAGTATGTTACTACAGAGGTGAAACAGTTAGTGTTAGTAATATACACTTAGTATAGTATTAAAGAATGGCAAACTACTGGACGTAAATTTGCCTAGAAAAACCACACAGCAGCCAGGGGCTGTTGAGGTTGGTTCTGCAACGTCATGTAAAGGATACGCAACTAACCTATTATTAGTATTAAAGAGGTAAAACTGTCATTCCTACTAACACCGTTAGTAAATCATTACAGAGACAATCCGGTAGTCTTTCATAATACCGTGAGTAATACATTAGAGTAAATACGGTAACTCGGCATGCTAGGTTGTGTAGCCAGCTGCAACCTTAAGTATCGACCACTTCAGTTGGTGGCTTTTATGTGGTTCATATTTTGGCTGAAAATTGTGAAAACATTAAACTTGAAGGTACTTATTTTGATGTTAAAGGGCTGTTCAAAAGCGACAGGAACGGCTCTATTGCGCTAGGTGTTATCCTAAAAGTGTTATATTGTCTCCGTAGAGCAGTTAGTTGCTCACCAGCAGAGAGCATCACAAAAAGCGCGAAAACTCCGAAGTTCAAGCGGCTACTGCAGGGATCTCCAAAATACCTTTTCTATGAAAATTAAAGCGGTCTGAAACCGACTACACGTCCTTCAGAATGCGAGGCAAACAGCTTAACCACTAGCCACTGTGATGTTGAGCTCTTACGTAATAATTAAATCAGATAAAATCAACGCGTGATACGTTCTTTTGTACCCAAAGAGTTATAATAATATTAATTAACTTTACGGTGTCTATTTTTTAGCTGTAGCTTAATTTTAAAATAATCTTGGAAAACTGATTTGACTACACAGAGTGATTTTGTTTAGGTCAGGTGATTTCGCTAAGGTCAAGATAAATGATTTCGCTTAGGTCATCCAAGGGGATTTTACCCAGCCCGTGGCGATGTGGTCAAGCCGTTTGCCCCACGCTCTAAAGGTCGTGGGTTCGTTTCACGGCTGCGTCGTTAAGTTAATGAATGCAATGTTTACGGAGATCCCTTGGGATCGTCACCGGAGCTACTGAGTTCGTGCTCTGTACGATGCTTTTAGCAGGTGTCTAGTCGTTTTGTAGAGAGAGAGAGAGGCCGAGTCATATGGGATTAAAACCCGGTGCAATTAAGTCGATACTATACTTTAACCTTTAACCTAGGCTATGCTAAGTGATTTCATTTAGTCCGTACTCAGTGGTGAGTGTATAATATAATAATATATAATCATTCTCAGCCGGTAGAAGCCAAGTTTGACTGAAACATAATGAGCACTTCCGAGTTGAAAGCTTCAGACAAGATAATGATAAAACTTGTTCGACAAGATTCCAGTACGTCCTGGGGATTTCGTTTACAAGGTGGCACCGATTTTAGCACGCCGCTATCCGTCCAGCTGGTAAGTAATACCCATATAAACCTGTGAAGTTTTGTTTTGTTTTTAGCATAATGGGTTACCAGTCGCCATTTGTCTCTCTCCTCCTCTCCCCATTCATCGGCTGTAAACTGCAGCGAAAAGTTGTGTTTGTTGTCTACTTCTGAACTGTGGTCTTGTTGCAGAACTTGATTTTTGCGTGGATAGGGCCTATCCCTGTTACAGATCTGGCTTATTTCAAAGAAATTGTTATTGTTTTCAGGGTTTGTCACAGTGTGACCTGTCCAAAGCCAGCGTCTTTTCTTCACCTGTTGGTCCACTAGAACTTGTTTAGTTCTCACCCAAAGCTCTACATTAGTGATTCTATTATACATGTTACCCCCCCCCCCTTCTCTCTATCTTTTCCCATTCTGCACAGGCACAAGTTAATGAATGTTTGTAGTTTATTAGTAACTACCTCAGTTGTTCTCCATGTTTCGGCTACATACTACAGTACTGATTTGATATTAAAATTACATATTTTACGTGTAGTATTAGTTGTAATTGATTTTGACCTCCACACATTTTCTAGTGCTATGAAAGCTTTTCTTGCTGTTTGCAGTTGTATTTTAAGATCTCCATCAGTTCCCATATCTTTACATTACTTCCTAAAAAGGTGTACAAATTCACATACTCTTCACTTCCTCAGGCGGCGTCCGTGGCTTAAGCGTTGCGAGTCCGACTCGTAATCCAGCGTACCGCGATCGAAACCCACTGCTGGCTGCGTGGATTTTTATTATGGTACGGGGCATCGCAGGTCGACCCAGCCTAAAATGGGTACCAGGATGGGCTGTCCTTGGGAAAGTAAAGACGGCCGGCGTAATGCTGACCACATTACCCACCTAGTGCTGATGGTCATATGTAAAAATATGAGCGCTCTTCCCATATGCCCGATGTGCTTATGGCGTGGAAAAAGATCTTTACTTACTTCCTTATAAAAAAAAGTTTTTAAAGATGGAGCCTATGATCCCACATTTCGGCGCTCCTGTCCATTGGATAAGGGAGAGACAGTCGTGTCTTTCATCTCCTGTTGGCAAAGTGTGCAATGCTATTTGCAGATCCCAGATGCTACAGTCAGTATAAGGAAACTTTCAGCACAGTGCGTAAACCTTGCTGCACCAGCGTGGTGCCACCTGTGCATGTAACCACAACCATACTTAACAGAATCCGGGCTTTTTATCCTGGCCGTATGCAACTGTAAGCAGTAACAGCTACAATCTGTAGATCGAAGATCGTCCATGCAATAGATACTTCGCAGTGTTTTCTAGAAGACAAAAGTTCTGAGTAGAATTCATGTTGATGTTGGTACATTTGAGAGTGAATTCCCACACTTGATAAATCGAGTATATATTTTTGGTGAATTGCTTGGAACATGTGTGTATATGATATGTGAAATTTCAGGGAAAGACGGTGACTATCTGTGTCCGAACTTGCTAAAGAAAATGGATGACGTGTATTTCGTATTTTTCTTTTCTTTAAAGCTATATTTTACTCAGCACGAGGTCACGACTCGGAAGATTATGCTTCAATCAACATAGAACATTCTTAAATGTTCCCCGACGAACAGTGTTTGTTTTCAGCTTGTGTGGGATTTCTAACGCCCAACAAAACTATACTAAGCAAATCTTTGAACCAACTCAGGCAAGCAAAATACAGGATCTGTATCGTAAACATACAGACAGGTAGGCAGAGAGACAAACGGACGGACAGACAGACAGTCGGACAGGTAGGGAGAGAGACAAACGGACGGACAGACAGTCGGACAGGTAGGGAGAGAGACAAACGGACGGACAGACAGACAGTCGGACAGGTAGGCAGAGAGACAAACGGACGGACAGACAGTCGGACAGGTAGGGAGAGAGACAAACGGACGGACAGACAGACAGTCGGACAGGTAGGGAGAGAGACAAACGGACGGACAGACAGTCGGACAGGTAGGGAGAGAGACAAACGGACGGACAGACAGACAGTCGGACAGGTAGGGAGAGAGACAAACGGACGGACAGACAGTCGGACAGGTAGGGAGAGAGACAAACGGACGGACAGACAGTATGACAGGTAGGGAGAGAGACAGACAGACGGACAGACAGTCGGACAGGTAGGCAGAGAGACAGACGGACGGACAGACAGTCGGACAGGTAGGCAGAGAGACAGACGGACGGACAGACAGTCGGACAGGTAGGCAGAGAGACAAAAGGACGGACAGATAGTCGGACAGGTAGGCAGAGAGCCAAACGGACGGACAGACAGTCGGACAGGTATGCAGAGAGCCAAACGGACGGACAGACAGTCGGACAGGTAGGCAGAGAGACAAATGGACGGACAGACAGTCGGACAAGAAGGCAGAGAGACAAACGGGCGGACAATCAGTCGGACAGGTAGACAGTGAGACAAATGGACGGACAGTCAGTCGGACAGGTAGGCAGAGAGACAAACGGAAGAACAGTCAGTCGGACAGGTAGGCAGAGAGCCAAACGGACGGACAGACAGTCGGACAGGTAGGCAGAGAGATAAACATAGAGAAAATCACTGTTAGGAGTGTGAAATAGTATTAATGTTTATCCTTGGTTCAAAGTTGCAGACGTGATGACGCAAGATTCACCTACTAAACAAAATGGTGTGTGCATATTTGTGTTCCCAATAATTCACTACACATGATAGACATACTGTCTTATAGACAGACGGACGAATGGATAGACAGGTAGGCAGGTCTTTTAATGGAGACTGAGACATTCGTAGACATACCTGTGTACAGTGAACATAGTTAAAAAAAAAAAAACCTACAAAAAAGCTCAGCCTGAAAAGACTGCTGTGGTGTACGTTGAAATACTCCCTACACTTTACCCTATTTCTGAAGACCCACTTTCATCAAGTTTAGAGTCAAGTGAGATAAGTGATGAGTATTCCACTTCTTAAAGCGTTTATTTAAACATCTTGCTTGATGCAAAGGCAAATTACAGGGGATGAGGGAGGCCCTGGAGTCTTCTCCCTCTGTACGTGTTTTATCGTCACCATAGTCCCATAACACCGTGTTTAGTTGTTGGCTCACCTGTTGCTGTTGATTGATCTATTCCTACCCTACCCCCACTCCTTATTTCTATGGGTCAGATGTAACGGATCTGGGTCCTGTTCCCGTTTCCCGGCCTATCTACACACTGCCTGAATATTCATTCATACTTTTTCAGACTCTTCTACGTCGGAGGGGTGTCACGTTGTCTTCCCTCCAGTTACATCAGCGCCCATGTCGCGGGTTCTATACTACACGACGACACAGCTTTCAACGACCCCAGAACGTGTAGAACTGGCCCTAATCCACCCCCCCCCCACCCACAGTCTTAACCTAGGTCACACGAGAGACGCTTTTCAAAGAAAGCAGTACAACGGGATACCCCTCTGACCTAGATCAGACTGAGAAAGTGTGTAAAAGGGCCCGGAAATGTGAACAGGTCCCGGATTTTATGTTTGCATGTTTGAGGAATATCCATTCGCCCAGACTCTTTCCTTGTCTTTCTTTGTCTGCCTCTGCATCACTTCCCAAATAAAGAGCCCTGTAGTTTCGTTTTGGAGAGGCTTGTAGATCTTGTTAAATGCACACACCATTGCATTTTTTCTTCTTTTCCCTATTGTTAGAAGCGGTTCATTGTTGAGAGTGTTGACTTCCAGACCAAAATGACTCATAACAAGATGACTACTGACGCTTTGAAAAGGTTTTGATTTCTTAATTTCTTTTCTAGCCAGTGTTTTGTGATGCTAATTTCATATTTCTGGACACGAAATCCAAAGGTTCCGTTGCCCAGCTACTAAGCTGAGTGCTTTGTGCAACACTGTGAGCTGTGGTTTAACGCTGGTTTTTTCCTGTTGTGCTCGTTACAGCTCTATGCTGTGAACCGCATTAAAAATGACTGTTAGCTGATAACGTTTGAAGTAGCGTGTGCTTGTTCAGCATCTCGTGCACAATGGCAGCTTTCGTAACTAACTAGATGCATCAACAGTGAGCTGCGGTTCTGGTGTGGGCCTGTTAGTGTTGGCGCTTCTAACAGCTGCCGTATATGTTAACTTTGCGTGTTTGAGCTTCAAGATTGTGTTAGCACTGACATGTTTGCTCAGCAGTTTTCAAATAGGTCGATGAAGAACATTCTGTCTGATTTCCTCTGGCACAGAAAGGGAGCATCAATGGGGCAACCCCGTCTGCAGCAATACTGGAACCTAACAAACGCTTAACAAATGATGTAAAGGTAAAAGGATCGACTTTATTTCACAGGATTTTATCACAGAGAGCTCAGTCTCTTTCCGCAGAACAATTAGCTGCCTGCCAAGAGCGCCGCACAGAGCAAGGCCTCTCTAGTCCCGGCTATGATCCCCTGGGATCTCTGTAAAAATTGCAGTCGTGAACTAAACGGCGCCGTCGTGAAACGAACCCACGAATTCCAGAGCACGAGGCAAATGGTTTGACAACCCCCCCCCCCCCCTTTCCCCCCCCCCCCCTTGACAGACGAATGTATTTATTTGCATTTATCTGTTAGTACGTGTAATAGCACTTTTGCAGTTCAAGTTGTTGTCACTTGCAACACACTTATATATCTACAATCGCTTATTTCATGTATTCATTATAATTTGATATGTGTTTGTTGTTGTCTTTGTACATAATAAACCTGCCTTTTCTAACGAGAAAGGAGGGGGATGGGGTGGGGTGAGCATAATGTCCCGGCACCAGTTATGCATACATTACATAATACACACACACACACACACACACGCACATACACACGAACGCATACAGACAGACAGACAGACAGACAGACAGACAGACAGACAGACAGACATTTAACATACATACATAGAAAAGAAACAAAGAAAGAAAGAGCCTGTCAAAAATCAACCTCAGATCCTCGACCGCCCATAATAAGAAGGGAGGATACGGGAAGCGGCATCTTACAGTCCACTCCAACCTGGTTAGTCACAAAAAGGCCTGTTGACCCGAGTTGAGCCTACTTTTGTCGCGAAAGTGTTTTACAACGAGCGTGAGAACTTGTTTCTCCCTCAGCATGAGTTTCAGAATAACTAGACTTAGTGCGGCCCTTCTGTCATTTACGTATTTTATGACAATGCGAGGCCAAGATTTAAAAAAGTAAAGTTAGTAAAGTACCCTTTTACACGCCTTTAGGCGTATAGGGCATATACGGCTAGACCTATATTTTATAGACCAACTAGCTGTACCCGGCCACGCGTTGCTGTGGCATAGTTTGGCTAAATGGAAAAGAAAGAAAATAGAAATCGCACGTGTCTAATATGGTTACTGTCGCAATCATTGTCTGCGCACATACAGAGATAGTCTTCGATGCCCCCCCCCCTCCCAAATCTACCTACTACTCGCTCCCTCATCAAAGGCTTTTGGAAAAGAAAGGCAATAGAAATCGCACATGTCTAATATAGTTAATGTCGCAATCATTCTCTCCACAGATATAGAGATAGTCTGGTTTGCCACTTTAGAACACGCAACATATAATTGCGTCTTTATATTAGTGGTCGTTTAAATGGTATTATTAGCACAGTAAAAAAAAATGGTTATTTGGTTATAACATGCTAAAGCTGTTTGTATTTTTTTAAGAGACGGAAGTAAAGCTTACTACTGTACTTGTAAATAATCAAGTAGGTCGTTAAAAAAAACGAGAACAGCAGAGGTAGCGTTAGTAAAATATAAACAAATTAGGAAATGAAAACTTTAAAATTATGCTTTAAGCTCTTTAAGTTAACAGTTTCTGTCATTACCCCCTTCCCTCCCCCATCGGTTCTGTCTCTCTCTCTCTCTCTGTCTGTCTCTCTCTCTCTCTCTCTCTCTCTCTCTCTCTCTCTCTCTCCCTCTCTCTCTCATCGAACGATTTGAAAGTCATCACCTGACGATATTTTTTGTAACTGACGTTGATATCCGGACTAAAATAGGGAGCAGGAATTGTGATGAGTAGTAAATGCGGCTAGTGTAATATTTACCACACTATCCTTTATGTACCAGTACAACTACTACCACCACCGCTACCACAATAAATAAAATAATGTCCCTGCTATCTGTTTTACCGTAGTAGTAGACAGTGAGTCGTGAGCCAGAGGATTTTGCCGTCGGCACGGGCTGGTCAGGTTAGGATGTGTAATTTCACTCCCCGACAGAAAAATGCCATCACCTTACCGGCGTTCTCCGGCATGACAGCACTACGGTGTAACTGCTCAATCACAAGTACTACTACTGCTACTTTGAGTGGGTAAAGCAGTTACTTTGACTTGAAGCTCTTTCAGTTACCAGTTTATGCAACCCTCCCCCCCCCCCCACCCCTTCCCTCCCAATTCACCGACTACTCTGTCCTTCATCGAAGTAGTTTGGAGAAAAAAACCAAGTGAAATGCAACGAAAACAGGAAAAAGTACACAATAATTACGAAATGAACGCTATGATAAACAACACCGCCTAATTCCAACGCAATGCCAGAAGAAATAATTAAATCGAAATGAAAATAAAGGGAAATCTAAGAAAATTCAGCGTTAACATGCAATCAGAAAGTTTGAAAATAAATCATAAGTATGGAAATGGTCAAATTTAATTATCAACTGGTTTACCTAGTTACCTGTATTTTTTTTTTTTAAATAGTTTTTATGGCTACATGGCTAGTGCTGTCGCCACGACAGAGCAGATCTCGGTTTTATTTCCTACCGAGTAAATGAAAAAAGGAAACTGCCGTACTGGGGATTTTGAACCCTAGTCTCGCACACGGGAACCCAGTGTACTAACCATTCGACCAACCAAACACTACTTCTGAACTCGAAAAGATAACAAAACTACACATGAAGTGTGTCCCGATTCTAACAACTCCCAAATATAAACTTTAAGTATTATTGAAACGGCACAATAATAGAAATCGTAAGTGTCTAACACGGTAAATGTCACAATAATTGTCTGCGCAGACATAGATCGCCCCCTCCCCCCCCCCCTTTTTTTTTTCCTCTTTCCCTCTCTAAAATCCACCGACTACTATCTAACTCAGCGAACGTTGTTTGAAAGGAAAGAAAATAGAAATCGTGTATAATTTAGTTAACGTCGCAATCAGCGATATAGAGATAGTCTGGTTTTTCTGTACGGGCGGATGTAAAAAAATGGAGGGTCCCGTGTCTACTGCGCATGCACTTTAAAAGTCGATCGCCCAGGCGCATTTACTAACGTGGCTATAATTAAATGCCACTAAAAATAGAAAATTAGTTTCACAGATTTTTGCAACAAATGTGGTCACCTATCTCTAACAATGACAGGTAGAATTTCAAACCATGATGGGTAAACATCCGGTATCAAAACAAACATATCCTGAAAATTTCAGCTAAATCGGTTCAGTAGTTTCCGAGTCTATAGGGGGCAAACAAACACACAAACATTGATTTATATATATATATAGATATAGATGGGCACAAGATGGGTGATGTACCTGCACCCGGTACCCACTCGACCAGAAGCCAAGGTCGTTTTTGAAAAAAGTCAGGTTCTGCCAGGGAGCGAACCTACGGTGAGCTTCCAACCGCTCCCCCACGGCGACTCACAAGACCAAGATAACCACACTTTAAACATACAAGATTAACGTTAAGCATTGTATTGCCAGTTTGTTACACTTAGGTTTTGCTAAGATGTCACAAAGCAGTTGCCATACCATGAGAGAAACGGGAGATCATCATCAAACAGCAAATCCTTTTCACAACGTCGCTTTCTTCACGGCACGCCTGAATGTATCCATTTTCCTAGCCAGCTCTCCGGCCCCATGTGCTTTCAATGCCAATGCATCCTCAATGTTTTGTATCCATCTTCACGGTGGTTGACCCCTGCTTCGCCTTCCACAAACTGCACCCGCCATCATCGTCTTTTCCAAGCCACCATGACGCTTGATGTGGCCAAAATACTTTAACTTTCGGGTCAGGATGCTGTTTATGAGCCAGTTTTCCTCGCTCAGAATGTCGATGTTTTTCCTCTTCCTGATCCATGATATTCTAAGAATTTTTCTATGACATATTTTACTTTAACCAATTTACTAGTGCTTTGCTATAGGTTCTTCATGCTATTTAATCTCTGCATTGCTAATGCAAGTCTACACGGGAGATACCTTACTTTAATCAATCTCCCCCCCCCCTCCCCCCCAACCCCCCCCCCCCCCCCCCCGTTTAACACTTACGCTAATTGATTCTGAGGTCCAGGGTAGGAGCATTCTATGGATTTCGAATCCATGAATTGTGTGTGGGGAAACAAACAGCCAGATGGACTGGTTGGTTCTGCAGCACTCACTGGTAAACTGATTTATGACAAGCTAGATGTTATCAAGGCCTTCTGGGAGCGATTAAAAAGTGCAGACACAGTTAGACGATCAGGGTCTAAAGAAAGTGATGCAACGAGGAGTGACTAGGGGGAATCTGACATACACCCCTCACTCAGAGGAAAGGCAAGGCGGACATACACAGTCAGACTGCTACTGGACCATCGGAGTTGGAACTCTTCGCTGGCTGTTGAAGTTGAAGACGAAGCACGTGAGGAAATGCCCCGAATTCCTGAAACTCAACTCATCTCAGCTCTGATTGTGAGATGTTCATTGCATCAGTGACACTCATTACATACAACGTTAAAATAAGCTGCACCCGTTTCCAAGTCTTTTGGCATAGTGGGTATAAAGGGCTGGACCGATATTTTATGGACCGAACGTGGTGAATATCACATCGGCTGTCTTTACTTCCTAGGACTTTATCGGGTATCCACTTAAGGCATGTTCTGCATTGGAACCAAGTTCATTTTACAAACACATTCGAACCTACGACTTGTGCATCTTCGGGTGAGCATCTATCCAATACACCACGGCGGCAATACACCACATTTCGTAACTCACAGTACCTTTTGCAAAGTCACCAATTTCGTCTTGTCCCTGTCCGAGAACATCCGGTAATACGTGCAGCAGAAGAAAATTAACCCTGCGCTTCACGAACTTAGGTGGGCCCACTCTCTGAAAATGTCTAGGAGCTCGTGAGCCGAAACATTTGTCGACGAGAGATTACTTCTACTGATGACTGGTAGACTCCTGCTGTACATGCTCCTCTGTGGAGTTTCTTCTTATTCTTATTTAAATATCTAAAGTCGGACTTGGTCTGACCCTGTCGTGATCGGTGTGTCACAGAAGTAGGGCGCTTTTTGCTGGACTGCAATCGTGTGTGGTTAAGGTCATTGCAAGTGCCTATATTATTTTCCACATTTATGTTTTATAACTGCTTGTAAAGAAAGAACTGTAATCGCCCCCCTCCCCCCCCTCCTTTTTTCCATCCCCAACTCCCCAATCAAAACAGGTAAATGCTGACAGTGTTGCAGAAAAGGCTGGTCTGAAAGCTGGAGATGCCATTTTGGCCATCAACAACATCACCTCGGACTCAATGACACACGACGAAGCCAAAGCCGAGATAGTTCGATCCGGCAATGAGATTTCCTTGCTTGTAGAAAAGTAAGGCATTGTTCTTGATTTTTTTTTTTTTTTTAGTAAACCTGTCTATTTAAGTATAATTCTTTTTATTGCATCTCATTAGACATGGTCCTTTCTTTCTTTTTTTCTGTCTGTCTGTCTTTCTTTCTTTTTATTCTTTCATTATTTCTTTCTTTCGTTATTCTTTCTGTCTTTCGTTCTTTCTTTATTTCTTTTTCTTTTTTCTTTCTTTTTTTTTTAAATTTATTTATTTGGGGTGATTTTCGTAAAATTCACCGGCGAAAGTTATGGCGAACATCAGAAAGATACATCATAATTTTGTGTGTTATGTTCTGGGAAGGTTCACAAAATAGCATATGACAGCTGGAAGGATGTATGGAATGAAAGTGCGAGGATGAAATAATTTGCATGCATATAAGACAGATCTGTAAAACGAATTGGCACGCAAAACTCAAGTTTTGGAGCAAGATTAAAGCCCAGAAGTGGACTAACAACCAGAACTCAGAATACACTGTCTAGTGAGTCTCCTATGAGTGCCTATTGATACCCGTAAATGTGCGTCTAATCGTTTGCAACAATATGTTAAACTATGCTTGTATTTAGCATTTCTGTTTGTGTTTAAAGCTTACCCTTGTTCAACAGGGGAACCGCAGTGGTGCAGCGGCTAGTGAAAATAACCTTGGCTCTTGGGTCGACCCATCCTTAGATGGGTACTAGGTAAATGTCCTGGGAAATAAAGGTGAAGGTGGGATGCTGACTACATCACACATCAAGTGCCGATTGGTGTATAAAATATAGGTCTAGCCCTGTATGCACAGTACGCTTGAAAGCGTGGAAAAGGCTTCTTTACTGTTATTACTTACTTGTGTAAACAGAGGAGCCGTCAGAATCTGGAGGCCTAAGGTTACTCCATTGCATAATCTGCGCCCGCTACAGCTGAATCTGTTGACTACAGATGTCGAAGACGACATCCAGCCCGTTCAGAGGACGAGTCTGGCCTTCACTACATCACCACAGGTGAGGTTTATTTCGCTGTACTGTTGATATTCTTTTTCTTTTTCTCTTCCTCTAGTTTTCTCTTTGAAGAGGTAGGGGAAATGTGATATGCTCGAGAACGCCAAAGACTGCTGTTCGGTAGCTTTTTTTTTTTTTTTTGCGGCCGATACCTTGATTTAGTCTGGTTTAAAAATGCGGAAAAGTCTGACAACTGTGTGTAAAACAAAAACAAAAAACCCAGCTTACTCGCTATTTGGGTCTATTTGGCTCACGGACCGACCCTGCAGGATACCGACCCAGCTGTTCCTGCTCCGCACATTGGGCTAGACAGCGTGGGTACGGGCAACTGCAGGGGAAGGCCGTTTGCCTGGCTGGTGTCACGGTACGTTTCATTTGCTTAGGTGCAGTTAGATTTAATTTCCATTGTGCATTCTCGCTAGGATATAGTTTGATGGCAGGTCGCTACAACTTATTTGTTGGTCTGGTGGCATATTGAAGCTTAACGTACGTGTTAAATATCTTTCGGTTTTTGCCATTGTAGAGGTAATCTCGCTGAGCGTATGGTGCCATTATCATATTTCCTTGTTAGCTGCAGATGATTAGCACTTTAGATTCTGCCTCTGGTCGAGCACGTTGGTTGTTGTTAATGTATTATTTGTGAAGTATACGTTAATTCTGTGTTCATTTGAGCAAAATAAACAGCTGTTTAATGTGATGATTATACATGTACTTGATTTATTTTGGGATCTGTAGTCTGTGCTCATGGTTCGTCTAGGTGTATGTAACCATGTAGTTAGGCTGTCGTCATGTAACTCACTATGCAGATATTCTTTGTCTGGGTCTAAGTGAAATATTCTAGGATCCCTGCACAGAAGAACCCCTGTCTTTTCTTTACTTTTCTGTTTTTGCTGTTTAGCGGGAAACTATTGCATTTTGTCCTAATCACAATTTTCCTTTATCTCCCCTTCTGTGTTTTTTTTTCTTTCTTTTTTTTTTTCTTCCCGCCAGCACAGAAAGATAGGTCCCCGGCAACAGCCGTAATGGTGCTTTAAAATATATAAAAAAAAAAAAAAACGAAACAAAAACAAACAAAAATTGCCCACCGCATAGGAACTTTTAGAAATTTTTTTTTTTTTTTTTTTACTTTTATTGGACTCAATTATTATGAATTAACTTTGTTACTGCTAGCAGTATCAATATCACGAAACAGAAAATCCGTGGGTCTGTCTGTCTGTCTGTCTATCACAAGAACTCATCTCTAGCTGTGAACTGTAGGGTCGTGAAATTTGCACATGTCATTTTAACTCTTTTTCTTGCCCAGTTATGCTATTTTTAACATAATATTCCACAATAGCTAACCATCAACATTTACTGGAGTTATTTTCCCTGAGTCCTGTGGCGGGTAACTTCGCTTTAACTAGCGAATGCACTATGTGCACTTTACATAGGGAACAACAAACAGTAAATCTTAATAGGGGTTTTTATTACCCCCAGCCTTGCTGGTTAAATTAGAGGATTTGGGGTTTGCCCACATCTTATTCCCTGCTGTAATTAATTGTATATTTAAATGTATTTAAATTACACTAGCTTTTGTTCACTGACACACGTACAGTTACAATGAAACTTCAGAAAACTGTAAGAACATTAAAACTACATTTATTTTGAAAATTCAAATGATAACTAAATAAAATGGCTGTGGATATAAAATCCTGTTATTCAAGGTAGGTTAGTTAAATCTTAGCTGTAGCTTAGGTGAGCTTCTGGCTAAGCCTCGGTGACACATCAGGCAGGCCGAATCTTCCAGTCCAGTCCGGACAATCGGGTATCTGCGGCTAAGCTTAGGATCTACTTCTGGACTCCCACCTGTATGTACCATCTGGAATACAATCTGGAACTAGAACAATAGAACAGTCCTTATACAAACAGTCAGGAAGGTTCTAACTGGAGACAACAATACCTCCAGGCTTTAAACTGTTACACTACACACATATATATGGAGTAGGATAGTAACAGGTGTTCACATTCTACTGGTATAGAATGGGAATGTGTACAGAACATGGTCCATAATCCTGATGGGGAAATATTTAGGAAACCAGTTTCATGAATACTCTCAAGAACAAGAGTTTACATCACACAAAAAGAAAGGACATTCCTCAGTGTAAATTGTTCTGCTGTCTGCACACTAGTACTCCTTTAAAGGGTTAACATGCTTACACACACAGACATACACAGTCATATTTCACAATATTCTCATCTTAACCACATGGGTTCACATCACAAAGAATGAGAAACAGGGATTGAGTTTACCAAGACCAGGAACTCATAACAGGTGCTTTGCACTGTTTGAAAACAAATGGGATTGACATATCTCTATCAATATACTGGGTGATGAGATAGATGTCAAAATACAATCATAGATGACAATGGGCTTTCCATCTGTCACAGTATTAACATAAAATATACAACACTCACTCCAGTTTAAATCTAAATCCACACATGTGCTAATCTTATTCAGCAGAGTTTAGAAGTGGTGAGGGGTGAAATATAATTATTACATTTGTAAGGCCACCTGCTGTAGAACTGAAATGTATTCCTAGTAATAGGGAAATATATCTACAACAATAATAATTACAAGCATGGGCCATACATCTCTTTTCTGCTTCTTCTTCTCTGACAGTGTGAATATTAAATTCAGCCTCACTGTGTTATTCACTTTCCAAGCTCTTAAACTAGTCTCAGAATTATCTGGACTAAATCTAAATTAAAACAAGACAGTGATTTATTAAGCTAATATCACCATGAGGTAAAAATCAACTTAGAAGGGATTAGGTATAATGAATATACAATTCATTCCTTTTTAATTGTCCCACCATGCTGGAAACCGGAACTGGCCGAGATTTCACATGAGGACATAATTATCACTAAATTAATATAAGTATAATAATTAAAAATACCAATGCACGTTTCTAGTAGCAAATAAACATTAATTCAATCATCAATTAGATAATATGTTTGCATACATGTACATACTAGATCATAAACGTGGTTAGTGAGGATAAAGAAATTTATCATAGTTTTTGAGCCATGTGGGCATTAAATTTCAGAATTTAACCTGTAAAATTAATTCAGAGGAATAAGCAGCAATACATCAAATTAAACTTATTCTTTTAACTCACCCCTGGCAGGGAATTCAAACAGAAAATTGGACCACAGGCAGACTAACAACTTTAGGTCTGAACCGGTCAATTTATGAATTGAAAAGGGAACAGGAAGTCAGGAGGAAGTAACTCTTCAGTCCCCCTTGCCCTACTCTTCGCCTATATTACCTTTCAACTCTTTAATTATAATTTTGCTACAATAAAGCATTAAGAAAAAGGTAAGGAAATTTCTTAATTAATCCAGTGTTATTATGCTAATTAAAAGCAATAGGAAAATGTTTAGAACTTTGGTAATAATATTATCTAAACAAAGCACTTTTTAAAAGGACAGAAACAGCTGTCCAGACCAGCTCGTCACAAGTCCCTATATATGTTTTTACTCACTTACACGAGTAATTGATAAGGTGCGGGAGCAATCACTCTAGGTCACTGGTCTGGATTTGGCTGACAAGGGCTTCGCAAATGGACAAGTGAAAAAATGTATATAGCCAACTGTGACATTATTTAAAAAAAAAAAAAACCCACCTATATTTAGTTGTTCTTTTTTCAATTGACAGTAATTCATTATTTGTCCAGCAGTGAGAGTCGCATTAGCGTAGTGGCTACACGTTTCACAAAGTGGGTATGACTACCCATGGAGGTGCAGGGATGGTTCATAGGGCTGTAGCTTCATCGGTCAAATTGGGGGACAGGACGCTGGAACGATCCAGGGGGTGGCAGGAACCTCAAGGAGTGGAAAATTTGTATTTTTTGATTGAACTTGTATATTTACACATACAGGAGCCGTGTAAAATTGGTAGCAGTCACAACAGATCGCCACAGCCATTCAGTAAATCAATGTTCCCGGACTTTAGTGTGGCAACTGGTCAGTGCAGCCCAGACAAAGAGCCAAACAGAGACGTTGAGCACACAGCTGATCTTCACAATCAGCGACATATGTGGGTATCTCACACTGTCCCTATTGAAATAGAAATTTTTTTTTTTCGCATTTATATTTCACCTTCCTCGTCTTCATCTTCTTCCTCTTCTTCGACCTCACTACCCAGAGACCAGAGTGAATTACTAGAAGTCCTTTTCCACGTGAAAAAATCCCAGCCTTATCTGGGATTGAATCCAGAACCTTTAGCACTCGAGGCGAACACCATGCCTCGAAACCACGCAGCCCTCCACCACCCCCCCCCCTTCCCAGGTCACAGAAATGCATAGGTGGAAGTGTCGCGCTCGATTCCAAGTCACCGCTACTCAGCCTGGCTCCTTTGAGGAACAGAGTTGTTCACTCGCCAAGATCGATGTCATGCCAACAGGAAATAGCGGTAGAAGAAACTTCCTTCCTCTTTGGTCTATACAAGCTACGAGTCTAGCATCGTTTGTCTAATAGTTTTCCTGTGATTACTTATTCGGATAGAATGAGTTAAAGTAACAACTAATTGGTGTCGAAAACTTCGATGACTAAACAATAAATACAGTCATGTCATCATCGTCATCAAGTGTCTTGCCGACTGGCGTAGGCAAATATTCCTCTCCAGAATATGCGATTTCCAACATTTTGTATCAGTTCGTGTGCTGACATACTTTCATGCCTTGACAAAAAGCTGCCAAGAATATTTTAGCGTTATCTTTCGCTAGCTCAGTTGATTAAACCAGCTGCACGATCACCATGTGACAAACTTCTTGTGGTCCGAGTTCACGCTCGTGGGTATGCAGAAAAGCCACATATTTCTCAGATTTACGGTATCTGTCATAGAATCAAGGTTGAAGGGTTGAGATATCCATAGTACCGCGCCAAAGGGTTTACAACTCATGGTTTCTGAATGAAAAAAAAAGTGAAAAAAAAATATCTCTATTTCCACAGATCTTTCCAGGAGTCGCGACATGTTCCAGTTTCCTTCTTCTGATCATGTGACGAAACATGACGACTGTCTCTTTCTGATGTTAAATCCATATATATAATAGTCCATAATAAATATGCTTACAGTCTGGAGAGGTGGAAAGGAAGCGAGGAGATAACAAGGATCTGACCGACACTCAACACTTACAAGAAAAGCAAAACGGGGACACAATCAGACTACTATTGATACCATCTTAATAAGATCACTGTGTTGTCTGCTGAAAATAGGAACGGCTCGCTTATGGTAATGGTTAGAACGCTGTGATGTTGATTCTTAGCTCAACTCAAATCATAATAAAAACATCACCACACAACATGCGAGTGTCACTGAACTGAAGTATGAGTTATAAGTTCAATCTTCAGCGTGAATCTGCTATCGTCTTTGCTGGATCTGTCTGCTTGATTCGTGTGCTTTGTCTCATGTAGTGTGGATACCCAGCGCTCACCGACGGATGCCAGCATCACCAACAACGGAGTGGTTTTAAAGCTAGAAGAGGCACGTGACGACGAGAAAGGAGAAGGTTCGTTATTAATGATGCTACACGTTTAAACGCATTACACACACACACACACACCTACACATAGTTATTCAAAATGATGGATACATCTCATCCAGGTTTATTTCCTTCAGTACACAGTGAATATGAGTAATAAACATAAACGAGAGAGAAAAGGTCTAAAGTTTCGAATACCACTACTGGGATTTGCGTGTACATCCGTTTTACTTGCCTATTTGTGTGCAGTTGATTGTTCCTACCCAAGCAGGCAGATGCACTCCAACTTCGAAGGAAGTACCAAGTAGTCGACTCCTACGACATGCTTCCTAATGAAGCAGTGGGTCTATTATTGTTTGCCCCGGAACCCACACGGGGAGTTCTTCACTGAGAAACCCCACCTGAGATTACTGCCCTGTGTAAACAAGTGCCCTGTGTAAACCACTGCCCTGTGTAAACCACTACTCTGTGTAAACCAGTACCCTGTGTAAACCACTGCCCTGTGTAAACCAGTACCCTGTGTAAACCACTACCCTGTGTAAACCAGTACCCTGTGTAAACCACTACCCTGTGTAAACCAGTACCCTGTGTAAACCACTGCCCTGTGTAAACCACTACTCTGTGTAAACCAGTACCCTGCGTAAACCACTACCCTGTGTCAACCACTGCCCTGTGGAAACCACTACCCTGTGTAAACCAGTACCTTGTGTAAACCACTACCCTGTGTAAACCAGTACCCTGCGTAAACCACTACCCTGTGTAAACCAGTACCCTGTGTAAACCACTGCCCTGTGTAAACCACTGCCCTGTGTAAACCACTACTCTGTGTAAACCACTACCCTGTGTAAACCACTACCCTGTGTAAACCACTACTCTGTGTGAACCACTACCCTGTGTAAACCACTACCCTGTGTAAACCACTACTCTGTGTAAACCACTACCCTGTGTAAACCAGTGCCCTGTGTAAACCAGTACCCTGTGTAAACCACTGCCCTGTGTAAACCACTACCCTGTGTAAACCACTACCCTGTGTAAACCAGTGCCCTGTGTAAACCAGTACTCTGTGTAAACCAGTACCCTGTGTAAACCAGTGCCCTGTGTAAACCACTGTCCTGTGTAAACCACTGTCCTGTGTAAATCACTACCCTGTGTAAACAACTGCCCTGTGTAAACCACTGCCATGTTTAGTTAAGACAGCCAAAAACACCTAACCAGGCATTAGATGACTCATACCAGAAGCACGTTCACATTTAAACAGTGTGAGGGACCGCCAGCTGTGTTTAACTGCAGCATTGTTTTACCTGCTGTGTATGAACATGATTGATTGTCACCTCCCCACCACCGATCGTGGTGTTTTCTGCTACCAATACCACAAACACCAATACCACAACCACCACTTCAACCAAAACCACCACAGCCACCACAAACACTAAAACCTAGGAGCTCATCCCCCTTGAGCGCCACCCCCCCCCCTCTTCCCCCCCCCCAAAAAAAAACATTGTAGAGATAGACTGAGCCACTCCACACCCCCCCCCCCCACACACACACATATGTTATGTGTACTCAGAAACAATCTTTAAACACGTACATAAATTATCTTTCAATGTATTTGTTTACATATATCATATTATGTCATGGTTATTCCGACGTTAGTCTCCCCAAATAGAGTAGGTCACTTTTCATTCACAAGTTTGTTGGGCTGGTGGACTTAAGTTTCTCCATGTTTTTGGAGTGTTAAAAGCGCTAGTGTGCTAAAATATAAAACACACGATATCAATGGCATTGTGGGACACCCCCCCCCCCTCCTTTTCCTATAACCGTGTGCAAAGGACATAGGGCTCATTAACTACCAATAAGAAATGAGCTTGTGTGTATATGAGTGGGGCTTGGGGAGGTTAACGTCGAACTTACCTTATGTCATATATATATATAGTTTTGTATTTATTTGCCATTTAGCAAAGCACTGTTAGCATTAATATCATTATTATCAATTGTATCTTTATACTCTTTAACTAGGATTTAGCCCCTTAAGGGGCTGAGCCACCCTAATGTTTTCTTTGGGGCGGCCTTCGTGACGACTAATACTATTTCCTTTCTTTCCCGCCTTCCCCCGTTCTTCATCCTTCGTCTCCTTCGCCTCATATTTTTACCGCTGAGGATGTCGACGGAGATAACTCGCTCTTGTGGCTACCTTAACTTTAGATCTTGATACTGTTATAGTATAGTTTCTCTGATGCTATCATTCCACGTTGTTCTTGGACTGCCTCTAGCTCTATGCCCTATTGTGAATGACCATGAATGCCACTGGTAGCAGATTTTCCACACCAGTCGCGCATCAGGCATATGACGCTAGATTCATATCTCTAACGACTAATCGGCCCTTGATGGGTAGTTTGGTCATCATCACGTCGACTGCCTTTACTTCCCAAGACTTTTTCTTGCACTGATTTTTAGTCTGGGTCGACATGGGAGCTGGGATCATTTCTCATGGAAAAGCGCACATCTTCTAACCGCTACATCACCGCGGCCCCCTAACACAAAGGTTATAAGGACTTATCTTTACTTTTTGGTTAGTATACTTTAGTGATTCGCAGCTTTCCACGTAGAGCTTGTTTCTTGTCACATCAAATATATTGTCATTCATCTCCCTGTCTAAGTCCGGTTGCAGTTGATTTGCATAATTGTACGTGTGTTGCCATGACTATTAGGTCATATCTGGGCGTGACGTGTGTTTATGAAAAAATAAAGGAAGGGAAAAGTAGAAAGGGCCACAGTCAGGCAGAGAATAGGAGAGAAAGGAGAAAGCAAATGAGAGGGAGAGACGATGGGAGAGAGGGAAAGAGAGAAAGGAGAGAGACAATTGGGGAGGGGAATAATAAGGGAGAGAGATAGGAAAAAGCGATTGAAAGGGAGAGAAGATTAGGGAGTTTGAGACGAGAAAGATAGACAGAGACATAGAGAGAGAGAGACATAGACATATATACATATATCGAGAGAGAGAGAGAGAGAGAGAGAGAGAGGGGGGGGGGAGGAAGCAATAGCAGCAGCGTTATATCTGTAATAATCAAGCAACATACTCTGTATCTCAATCAGTTACCTTACAAGGATTTCGCTCAGTGACCGCCCCTGGAACCAAGCCAAAGTCTGACCTGTCCGAGCAGTCCTCTATGACCTGTAGAGGATGCAACATGCTGGCCACGTATGTAACTACTCATCCTTGTTGGGACAGCTTTACACATTTACACAACAGTTATAACACCAGACACCTTTACACATTTACTTAACAGTTATGACACCAGACAGTTTTACACATATACACAACAGTTATAACACCAGACAGTTTTACACATTTACACAACAGTTATAACACCAGACAGTTTTACACATTAACACGACCGTTATAACACCACACAGTTTTTCTCATTTACACAACAGTTATGACACCAGATAGTTTTACACATTTACACAAAACTTATAACACCAGACAGTTTTACACATTTACACAACAGTTATAAAACCAGACAGTTTTACAATTTACACAACAGTTATTATACCAGACTGCTTTACACATCTTCACAACAGTTTTTAAACCAGACATCTTTACACATTTACACAACATTTATAACACCAGACAGATTTACAAACAATTAAGACACTAGCTTTCCAAATTTGCACAACATTTATGACACAAGACAGCTGTCAGAATGTGCACAACCGTAATGACACCAAATAGCTTTCCGCATTTACAGAACTATTATGACACCAGATAACTGTACACATTTGCACAATTCTATGACTCAGATAGCTTTACATATTCACACAGCTATCATGACACCAGGCAACTTTACACATTTGCAGGACCATTTTGTCACCAGAAAAATTCAAACATTTAGACAACTATTATAGCACCAGACAACTTTACACATTTAAACAACTGTTTTGGCCCTAGAAAACTTTACACACTTTACACAACTTGAATGGCAATATATAACTTTACACATTTACACAAATGTTATGGCAACATATATCTTTACACATTAACACAACTGTTATGGCCCTAGATAAATTATCACGGTCGCAGCGAAGTCAGGTTTAGCCAACTACGCTAGCGAGCTGGGCAAAGATGATATACCTGCTAAAACAGCTCTCACACGGATACCAGAGGGAAAGAGAAAAAAGGGGCGCCCAAAAACAACATGGAGACGAACGATGAAAAGTGACCTGAGTGCGGCATCGCTGACATGGAAAACTGCACTCAAGATTGCACATGACAGAAAAGTCCTTTCTAAAGCCTCATGTACCACTAGGCATAAAAAGAACTGATGATGATGATGATGACGTTTCTTTCCTTGCTATAGCACTGCCCCATTTTTCCTTATTTCAGGGGTGTGATTGTCAAAGCCAACAACTTTCCATATCACGCAGCGTGTTTTAAGTGCGCTTCCTGTTCTGTACATTTGAAACAAAAAGGTAGGTCATCGACGGCATCATCAAATAGATATATTTTTACAAAATTAAAGCAATCTGTGGCTCTAGTGATACAGTGGGGATATGATAATAGTCTTGAATTTGTGTATACCGACTGGCACTAGATGGGTCACGTTCGGCACTACATGGGTCACGATCGGCACTAGATGGGTCACGTTCGGCACTAGATGGGTCACGTTCGGCACTAGATGGGTCACAATCGACACTATATGGGTCACGATCGGCACTAAATGGGTCACGTAGTGAAAACTACGCCGCCGGCCGCCTTCACTTCCCAGCACTTTATCTGGTCTATATTTTAGGCTGGGTTGCCTTAGAAGCATGTGTCATTTAAGAAGAAAAAAAATCTGACATGATGTGGGTTTGTATGTGTGACCTCCAGCCGACAGGCGAGCGATAGCTGTAGCAGGCGTGCTGTCATGAAGAAAGTTTGCGGGTGGAAGGGGTTCAAGCATTCCTTCCTAAATTAAGAGACAAATTGGGAAAAAAAAAATGGGGGGGGGGGGGTAGTGTAGGGGTTCAGATTTCTTGAGCCCCCA